AGTTCAAAAACACCCTATCTCACTTCAAAATGTATTGAAAATATGCTGATATAGGGCGTTTTTGAATCGGCAGCTGAGATAGGCCGTTTTTGAAACGAATTCTGAAATAGGGCGTTCTTGAAAATATTTTGGAGATAGAATGTTTTCGAACTGGCTGCCGAGATAGGTCGATCTTCCACTCAGCCATCGATATTTACTATCTAAGTATGTATTCATTTGAAGTAGTCTTTAGCCGACCATGCATATTATGTATTCTGTATATTATAAAACAAATACATACATATGTAAGTAATATTAATACAATGATTCCAAATATTCTCACTTGGTTTCACTGCTGGGGCTGCCACTGCTGCTGCTTCTCTCCTCAACCTCGACAAGTGTAGCTGGCCTACGTCTTATAATGAAGCTCATTTAAAAGTTTTTTGGAAATACATATTATGCAAAATAAAACCAAAATTGTGTGTGAGCCCGTATAAATTAACTTGAAATTTTGCGCGGAATTCTAATAATTTTTCGCGGCTTTTTAATGACTCTCGTATTATTCAAATGTCATTTCAGGTACATACTTAGTCTGTTCCAATAGCAGTCCGGTTTACAGGATTTAGTCAGAACTTACAGGAAGTCGTTCCTATTGACATAAAACCTGTAAGTGGGAACACATTTGAGAGAGTAACTGAGCAACTGTTCCTAGTCAGAAGTTGCAGGATTTAGTCCGGAGTTTCTTTTCCTGTAAGTTCATGAAAAGTGTCAAACGATCAGCTGATTTGCATGTGCAAGCAAAAACTAACAGCGGTGAAAGCAAAGTACCTTATATTTGTAAAAAAATGGAAGTAAACAACGAAATGTTTGAATATGTATAGATTTTAATAATTATTTAGTGATATTTCAGCTAAATCAGTGTTGTACAAATGACATGTAAACAAACCGACTGACGTTTTTACAGGAAATAGTGCTTTTTGCGTTCCTATGCACTTCTGCATCTGTTCTCCTTTTACTCTCAATTGAGAGAGTAAAATTGTAGTTTGACAGTTCCACAGGTTTTAGTCCGAAGTTCAAAGGAACAGACTAACTATGTAGGTGTGTGCAAAGAAAATAGAAATGGTGCGGGACCGTTTCAAAAACTTGGCGGTTAATTCACCGCGATTTATTAAAGACACGAACCGATGATAGTTGCACCCTCGAACTTTTACATGTTCTTTTGCATATGTAAATACATGATTATTATCGGAATAAGTCGAATCTTGAGTTGCCATTTTAGTAGTAATAACTTTAGTTAAATAACCATATTGAGCAGAATAAATGTATTTGTGTATACTATTTTTCAAAGATTTAATTATTGTATGTATACAAAAATTAGAAACTACAGTAAATGTTAATAATAACAGGCAAGAAAAAAATAACCAAAATTGGTTAAAAGTAAGTAAAACGGCAACACTGTCTATAAGAGACAACACGTTATAATTGTAGCGAGTGTGAACATCAGGAGCGTGCCTTCTCTTTTCGTCCAGTCTAAAAACGTATTTGGGCAAAAGAGAAGGCACGCTCCTGATGTTCACACTCGCTACAATTATAACGTGCTGTCTCTTCTTATAGATTTACATTATTTGGTCTCGATGTAGTGGCCATGCGACATATTTGGTTTAACTGATTTTATTCACGTTGGAAAATTTTTCCAAACCACTTTTTTATAAAATTCTTACACAGATCTTCGCTTAAATGTCAATTTTCGAAAGAGGTTAAGGCTTCTTTCTTCACAGTTCAAAGGAGGTTACAAGGGTGGCTGTTAAGCGATGCAAGTGCAAATATCTTTGAGGAGTCTGTCAAACCCAAGAATTTTCGACGGTGATTTCTGCAAATTGCAATAACTTTTGGATGATTACATGGGAAAGTAGACTTTCGCGTTTTGATAATAAACAAGTAATTTTTAGCAAAAAAAAACCGACTTCAACTCTCATATAAAAAAAAATATATATATATATATCTCATGATCCACTGATCGGATCTTAACCAGATTAGTATGGGACCACCTCTGAGACACTACCTTTCCGATGCAAAAAGAATTATCGAAATCGATTGACGTGGTCCAAAGTTATGCGGTAACATACATAAGAAAAAAAAAAAAAAAAAATTCCGACGAACTGATAACCTCCTCCTCATTTGGAAGTCGGTTAAAAATGCTTAGAAATTGCACAATGAATAAATACTTTAAATCAGAAGACACCTTTTTATACTTCCACAAGGCATATTTCTACCCGCGATTTACGGAGATACCCACTTTTCACATAGGGTGCGTTCGAGCTACGTAATAAATACCGCAATATTGCAGCCCTGTTGCCTGTTTGCAACCCTAGTACTGATACTCAGCTGATACTCTGCTGTAACGTTGCAAATTATTAATCCACAGAACGTGATTGCGATTAAGGTGTTGTAATTTGTGCACTGCGAAATGGAAATGTTAATAAATTTAATAATTGATGAAGTGGAGGAAGCTAGTATCGATTGTTTACTAATGAATCGGAAGAAAAGAAGAATTATCATCAAAAGAAGAAATTTGTTGGTACAAAAAATATGTAGAAAGAGGCGAGTCACAAAAGCGCAAAATTTTTATAAAACTATTGAAATGTACGAATCCGACGTATTTTTCTCCCACTTCATAATGAGTCGCGACACGTTTGCTGTGAGTTGAATAATTTGAAAAGTTTTTAATAAATAAATCAAGACAATAAAGGTATGCATTTTATTAAGAAACTGAATGATGCTCTGGAGCCTTTCTGGTCACCGAATAGTAGCAACTACTCCCTAAAGGCATCGCTGTATATGACGCTATGGAAACTATCCAACAGCAGAGTAACATATCGCGATCTTTCTGATCGGTTTAATTTAGGGAAAGGAACAGCCCACAAAGGGGCACCGAAATTGCGCATATGGAAACTGTGCATTTAGACATTACTTCGGTTTCAACCGAAACTGTGCATGTATGCTTTATTTCGGTTTTTACCATATGCATTATTTCGGTTTTAAACCGAAACTGTGCATGTATGCATTACTTCGTTTTTTTTCATATGCATTATTTCGCTTTTAAAACGAAAGTATGCATATGCATAATTTCGGTATTTTCTCATATGCATTATTTCGGTTTTCAACCGAAACTGTGCATGTATGCATTACTTCGGGTTTTTCATATGCATTATTTCGGTTTTCAACCGAAGCTGTGCATGCATACATTATTTCGGTTTTTTTTATATGCATAGTTTCGGTTTTCAACCGAAACTGTGCATATATGCATACCTTCGTCTTTCACATATGCATTATTTCGGTTTTCATCCGAAACTGTGCATGTATGCTTTATTTCGGTTTTTGCCATATGCATTATTTCGGTTTTGAACTGAAATTGTGCATGCATGCATTATTTCGGTTTTTGTTTTATGCATTATTTCGGTTTTCTAACGAAAGTGTGCATATGGATAATTTCGTTTTTTCTAATATGAATTATTTACTTCTACTTAGTAAGGGTTTTAATCCCTAAGCGCGGCTGAAAGCCGCCTACGCAGAGAAAAGTTCTGCGCAAAAATACGTCCGCCCTTCTTTTCCGGCAACACAGAAAGGAGAATTCTACTTAGTAAGGGATATAATCCCTAAGCGCGGCCGAAGGCCGCCTACGCAGACAGAAGTTCTGCGCAAAAATACTTCCGCCCTTCTTTTCCGGCAACAAAGAAAGGAGAATTCTACTTAGTAAGGGTTATAATCCCTAAGCGCGGCCGAAGGCCGCCTACGCAGAAAAAAGTTCTGCGCAAAAATACTTCCGGCCCCTTTTCCGGCAACACAGAAAGGAGAATTCTACTTAGTAAGGGTTATAATCCCTAAGTGCGGCCGAAGGCCGCCTACGCAGAAAGAAGTTCTGCGCAAAAATACTTCCGGTCCCCTTTTGAGGCAACACAGAAAAGAGAATTCTACTTAGTAAGGGTTATAATCCCTAAGCGCAGCCGAAGGCCGCCTACGCAGAAAGAAGTTCTGCGCAAAAATACTTCCGGTCCCATTTTCCGGCAACACAGAAAGGAGAATTCTACTTAGTAAGGGTTATAATCCCTAACCGCGGCCGAAGGCCGCCTACGCAGAAAGAAGTTCTGCGCAAAAGTTTTTCCGGCCCCCTCTTCCGGCAACACAGAAAGGAGAATTCTACTTAGTAAGGGTTATAATCCCTAAGCGCGGCCGAAGGCCGCCTACGCAGAGAGAAGTTCTGCGCAAAAATACTTCCGCCCTTCTTTTCCGGCAACACAGAAAGGAGAATTCTGCTTAGTAAGGGTTATAATCCCTAAGCGCGGCCGAAGGCCGCCTACGCAGAAAGAAGTTCTGCGCAAAATTTCTTCCGGCCCCCTTTTCCGGCAACACAGAAAGGAGAATTCTACTTAGTAAGGGTTATAATCCCTAAGCGCGGCCGAAGGCCGCCTACTCAGAAAGAAGTTCGTTTTCATGTATGCACTATTTCGGTTTTTGTCATATGCATTACTTCGGTTTTGAGTCGAAACTGTGCATGTATGCATTACTTCGGTTTTTGTCATATGCATTATTTCGGTTTTGAACCGAAACTGTGCATGTATGCATTACTTCGTTTTTCTCATATGCGTTATTTCGGTTTTCAAACGAAAGTGTGCATGTATGCATTATTTCGGGTTTTTCATATGCATTATTTCGGTTTTCAACCGAAACTGTGCATATATGCATTATTTCGGTTTTTTTGATATGCATTATTTCGGTTTTCAAACGAAAGAGTGCATATGCATAATTTCGGTTTTTCTAATATGCATTATTGCGGTTTTCAACCGAAACTGTGCATATATGCATTATTTCGGTTTTTTTCATATGCATTATTTCGGTTTTCAACCGAAACTGTGCATATATGCATTATTTCGGTTTTTTTCGTATGCATTATTTCGGTTTTTTTCATATGCATTATTTCGTATGCACAGTTTCCATATGCACAATTTCAGGGTGCCCCCACAAACTTTTTTTTAAAATTGTAAGGACGATATGCTGCTTTAAAACAGAAATTTCTTGGCCAACGATTGCTGAGCAGCGATTCGTGATGGAAGGCTTCCAGACAAAAAGGGCAAATTCCTTTCCCTTCGTTGTGGGATGCGCTGATGGCACACACTTCAAAATAAATAGACCAAGTAATGATGCAGTCAGCTATTATGACCGCAAGGGTACTTATTCTATAAATATGCAGGTGAATGATGAAATATACATACTTACATATATGGTAAAATAGTATTAAAATTGTTTACTGTCATAGGCTATATGCGATAGCAATCTGCGCTTTTTAGATGTATTTATCGGCTATCCTGGAAGTTGCCACGACGCCAATGTATGGAGAAACAGTCCAATTTATAAGGGAATAACATCTGGAGAAGTTGAACTTGCAAGTGGAGCCGTAATATTAGCAGATTCTGCATATCCACTATCGAAATATATGATAGTACCCTTTAGAGATAATGGACATCTTTCCAGCGATGAAAGAAAATTCAATTACATTCTCAGTTCTACCAGAGTACTAATAGAGCAGGCCTTTGGGGTTTTAAGGTCAAAATTTAGAATTTTAAACCACATCGATGTTACAAGTTTAAAGAGCACTTCGGAAGTTGTATTGGCCTGCACTATATTGCACAATTTTATAATTAAGCATTGTGGGGATTCAAGCTTGGCAGATGCTTTTGAGAACACCGGTGTAGAATCAAATATTATTACTGAGAGTAATCATGAAATAGAAGTTATTGAAATTATTAATGACTATAATGAAGGAGTTGCTAGAAGAAATGAACTAAAGATGCTATTTCTTTCATGAAGTTTATTCATGTCAATATTTATTCTTTTTAAATTCATTTTCCATGTATATATTAAAAAAAAAAA